TAACCAATCAATAATCAGTAAAACGCGAAACCACAACAGCGGATCGCTTCTGATTGGTTACGCGGTTACGCGATACGCGGTAAATACACCTCATGGGACTCCAGCCTTACTTCTTACTCCGTGTATTGTAGACGGGCCTTTCGAGGATCTGGGCTAAAGCGTGCCTTGTAAATGTTAGTAATTCAGTCAAATAATCTATTACAGGTCCAAAAGTCTTTCAATAAACGAATTAGAATACATGCTAATGCTCGTGAATAGAGTTGGGCATACATTAAACATAACGTATTATATATAGTTTTTATACGTATAATACCGTATATTATACGTATTTACGTACGTTCTATACGTATTATACATGCAAGAAACTACTCGCAGCATTAAATTGCCCAACTCTGCTCGTAAGCGCGCATTCGAGAATGGACGATAAACTTCTTTTTCAACTTTTTTTTTGTGTCTATGACCTTGAATTACCTTGAGTTTCTATGATCATTGTATTTGTCTTGAGGTGACTACACAACACACGTCCGTGTTTAAAAATTGATAGTAATTTCATTTAAAGTGGAGAGGACATTCATATCTTTTTAATGTCTCCACCTAGAAAAAATCGACATAACCAAAGTATATCCCCTTCAAAATCGTTCCATTTTCATCTGAAATATTTTGTTGTATTATCAATAATTTCAGAGAAAATTGACTGGATTGATTAAAATGGGACACCCTGTATATGTGTATATATATTATATATAAACATAATATAAATTTCTTTGGTCTTTTTTTCTATATCTACTTATACATAAAAATTATATATTTCTGCAACATTCTTTTTAAAATAATCAGAGATTGTTGCAGTTACTGTAATCTATAGATAGTTGAGATTCGATATATACATAGCTGTTCTAAAGGAGAACTTTTACACATACACACACATACAACAATATAAGTACTTAAAAATTCGAAGTATATCACGAGTCAAAATTTGAAGTATTATATATGATCAATATTACTTAAATCTTAAAATTAAATATTTTTTTTATCGAAACCTTTTTATATATTACTAATAATGCATCTATGACCATTTTGTCAGAAACTGGAACAATCTCATGACTATAACAATATGATTACGTTTTCGAATATATGTGGTTCATTACGAAAAAAAACTTATTTTTTAAAACACTATTTTTAAAATGCTAGATCAAACTCGCAATTCAGTTTGAATATCATGTATAGAATTATGCTAATACAATGAAATTGATAATTCTATATTGATCCAACATTAAGAATGTCATGCTTTATCAATCATTGATCAGATATAAAATTACATTCCTTTCCATGTTTTAGATATTACTGTCTTCAAATCGAAATCTTAATATATTTATCTAATTTTTTATTTTAAATTCAATGTATATCAAATTTTCTATATTTTCTACCTTCTTCCTTTCTCTAAAGCAGGCCTGTTCAATTTGAGCTCTGAAGCCAAAACGCAAAGCCATCGATGCAAAATAATTCAACGTACGATTTTAAGAACTATAAAATGTTGATAAACGTCACTTAGATGCGTATTGACACTTTACAGTCCCCGAAATCTTATCTACATTGAATATTTTTACGTCGATGGCTTTGCGTTTTGGCTCCGGAGCTCAAATTGGACAAGCCTGCCCTAAAGCATGATACACATTCTATTTCAAGTGTTACAGATATAAAAAAAAATGCAATTGAATAAATAAATCTGTCGTCGAAAAATTTGCAAAAGACATGATGTCTTAGACCGGAATCAGACTACGCATTGAAGAATGAGATTGAAGACTGAGATTAAAGTTTGACCAACCAGAACAAAAGGAACCAAAATTTCTTTGTCCTCATTGGTGAAATTTCAATCTTTAATCTTTAATCTCAATTTTCAATGCATAGTCTGATTCCAGCCTTAGACAAAAATCTTTCGAATTCTGTACATTTCAATTTTATTTTATGAAAAATGTGATATAGACAATTTGATTATTTAACATCTCTGTGTAACTTATTACATTCATATAAATGTGTATCTGTAAATATAAATATTAATTTACTCCATTATGTGCTGGTTAATGGATCAATATAATTACTTCGTTGTACTGGCAAGATTCATAAGTTCAAACTGATTTGTGATTTTAATAATACGGACATATTACATCTTGCGAAATTATTTTGGTTCTTTCAAAGAATAAATTAGAATAGATACTAATGTTTGTTGGCGCGCATTCGAGAATGGACGATGAACTTTCTTTTTTCAACTTTTTTTTATGTCTATGACCTTGAATAATCTTGAATTTCTATAATCATTGTATTTGCTGTATCTAGATATGAATATACTCATATACAGAATATTGCATACAAGTATAGGGGTATTGTATTAAGGGGATGGTGGAGTCACGAATTATCGATACATTACAGCCGTATAAAAACTTCTGAATTGATTGAACGAAATAAAAATCTCCTTTTACAGGATTGAAGTAGACGCAAAACTAAGAGGTAGAGTAGTGGACTTTATACTAATTGTAAGATCGAAAAAAAATTAAGAACTTACATTTTTCAACTCGTAAAGCTGTCACCTGATGTAGATGGTTCCTTAATATAAAAGTTCTATAGCTCGTATGGACAAAATAACATTGCACCACCCGTTGGATTACGTGAACAAACAATATTAAGTTTATAGAATTAAGATTGAATGCTTAAAAAGAAGTTTTAAGCCTAATTTACAATGTGCTCTTTGTTTCCTGTATCTTGCTTTTTATTACTTTTATTTCTCGCATTTTGTCCAGTTTCTTTATTTTCTGTCACTGAAGATAAAAGTTGACAAATTTTGAAAGAGACAAGAAATATGAAAAGAAACGCAATTGTCAATAAAACGATTGTAAAGAAGGAAAAAGCATAAAATAAGAAATAAGAAACAGGAAGCAAAAAACATTGTAGGCTTTATATTCAGCTGCAAAGTATGTGTATACGTATGTTTAGCGAAGATTCAGAATGGTAAACAGAGCAGTAATTGTGTCTAGCAATAGGTGCCGGATCTTGCAAAAGATTGCGCTGTAATATGTTAGATAAGGACAGATATATGCATTTGAGTGAGACAGAACAATAATGTAAATTAATTAAAGATGCTATTGTGAACATTGTTATAATATAGTACTAAAAAGAATTTATATTATCGACATTAATCAGTTCGGCTGTCACTCCAGCATCCCCTTAATAACATATAACACACATCTTTCAAATATTAGATCCGAATGAGCACTCATTTAAAAACTACAGTATGCATTCCATATAATTCGTTGGCAAAATATATCGTTATGTCCGGTGAATTTAACAGATCTACTTTCTGTCCGATGTGTGTACATCAAAATATCTAATTTGTTAGAATAATCATTTTGATTTCATTCCTATAGTATTAAAGTACAAATACCACATTCGTTCAAGAGAATAAAATCATAAAAAAATATTTCAGCGCGTCATAAAGTTTCTCTTGCTTATACAACCACGATTTTATGATTGTTACCATTTGGCAAGAGAACATAATAGACACGCTTTCCCTTATCTCATTGAAACTCTTGCATATTAGTATGGTACTGACTGTTAGCAAATGAACTATTAACTTGTTCGTTCCGTTCAATAACACTTTGCATTTCAACAGTCGACTCATTGCTAGATTGCCCATTATTATTTAAATTTCCAGTATTACTAACGTTATTTGTCACTACATTCACATTATTTGTAGGATTTGACTGTTGTTGATGCCCATTTAAACTATTTTGTGCAGAATTATTATTTTTTGATCTATGTCTAAGTCTGTGTGTAGTAAGATATTGTTTTACTGAAAATGCTTTGTGGCATATATCGCATTTATATGGAAATGGATCAGGACAATTTATACCATCCATGACAGCTACCGCATGAGTAGTTAAATGCATCACATAATAATGTTTTACAACAAATGACTTTCCGCAAGTTTCACAGATGTAAGGACCAGATACACCATGCGTTTTTCGATGTTTATGTAGATTATCCTTACGTGAAAAACTTTTACCACACATTTCACATTCGTGCATTTTCTGTCCAGTATGAGAAACCGAATGTCTAACTAAATGTTCTTTACGACTGAATGCTTTTGTACATGTCGTGCACACATATGGTCGCTCACCGGTATGTAATTTTCGATGTTGGAAAAGATGCTCTTTCCGTTTAAATGGCTTACTACAAATGTCACAATTAAAAGAATTAACAATTTGCAAGGAATCATCCTTACTTCCGGAATCTGATGGTTCACTTACAAGTGTCTCAACATTACAATTATGATTGCTCATTTGATTGAATGAAGGAAAGCTTTTACCACAATCGCGACAAATAGCGTTTCTTCCACCTTGTGAAAGTCCTTGAGGATTGACAGTGATTAGAGAATTTGGCTCCGATCCTGATCTAAGCCTTAGAAATTCTCTGATCTGTTCAATTGAATTACGAGACATTCCGTCATCAGACGACGTTTTTGTCAATTCTTTAAAATCTTTATCGTCTCGAATCGTCATCAATGGAGTCTCTTTGAAACCTAAATTTAGAAATACTTCTGGCGTTGCTTGTACTGTAGTATAAGTTTGTACAGTTGGGTTAGGAGATTCATCTTTTTGGGTTTCGGATTGTATCTTTTGTATAATTTGTTGACTCGGTTCTATGTCTGTTTCAGTTTTGAAAACTATATTATTATTTTGATGTACAACTGGTGTCTCTTGTTTCACTGAAAACTCTTGTTGTGTTATGATTTGCACTTGCTGTTTCTCAAGTTGAAGTTGTCTATGCTGCTTTTCAAATTCACATTGTTGCCTCTGTAATTGTTGAAGCTGCTGTGATATCTGTGATTGACTTTGTACTGGTTGACTGATTTGACTTTGACTCTGTTGTTGGACCTGTTGAGATAATTGTGCTGACTGATTCAATTGTTGAGACATTGCTCTTTGGGATTGTACTTGCTGATTTATTTGGTTATGATTCTGTACTTGGTTTTGAGTTTGTGTCTGAATTACAGGAGACTGATTTTGTTGATCACTGATTTGATTTTGCGCTTCATTTGATTGTGATACTTGAGAAGTTTGTTGTTGGTAACTGTAATGAGTCTCTGCTGTAGCTTCAACGACAGCTGCCGCCATACCACCTGGTTGCATCTAAACCCAAGAAAAAAATTTTAATACTTCTAATGCAAATAAATAATCTTTAATAGATACAGCAACAGAAAGCTTTATTATATTTAATATAAAGTTTTACTTATTCATTACAGACCTGCATAGCACATTTGTATTGTTGTACCCTTGCTTGAACACCACTAATAATTTGTATATTAGAAGTATTTATATTGCTAACTACGACAGGTTGCTGATGTATTTGATCTGTTTGTTGATTATTTATTATTTGGCCTCCCACTGGTGTTGGTTTATCCACTGACTTTAGAACTTCATCCTCTGGTGTAGACGGTCTTTCCTTTTCAGTATTCTTTACATAAACTTTTCCTTCTTTCAGAAATTCCTCGGAAAAACGAAGTGAAGTGAAATAAGATTCCAACATACCCTCAGCATTGACAACAGTTTCTCGAAATTCTATGAAATTCTCTAGCTTCTTGACGCATTCATGGCATACAATTTTTGGTAATGAATCCTCCTCCATAATCTTCAAGAAATATAGTTTTAATTTTTAAAAACAAAAAAATTTATTCATTTATATGTATATAATTTATGTATATAATTATATGTATATAGGTATATAATTTATTCTATTTTAATTTTGGCAATTAGACAAAATTAAATGTTAATTTGTTATATATACTAATAATACGCTAGAAATAAATTAATAAATTAATTAAATAATTAGAATTTATATCATTTTGACAATTTGTATAAAAATATATATCTTTTTAATCTACTAAAATTGACTGTACCAATAACACAACTAAGCTTTTTGGTTAAATGATTTAAATGTAAACAATATTTTAATATTTTAAAGAAATATATTAAAGTTTTATCAATAATACTACAATATTCTATATGAAAATATATCAACTAGCATTAACGATATATAATATAATGATATATCTTTATTGAAACATATCATAGAGAAACAATATAAATAATTATATAAGAATATGTTTGTTTATATTATAGCTATATGAAAACTGAACTCTTATAAATCTTCAAAAGCTTACATATTAAGTCAAAAGATTAAAAAAAAATAAAAGGAAGCATTAAAAAAAAAATTAATTTAATTTTTAATTATTTAAATTCTTTTCATAAATTTGTTAAGCTTCTGCACAACACACACACACATACACGCACATAGATAAATATATAATAAACTATGATTTATTATCTTAATTCGTATTGAAACTTTTTTAAATATTCTCTTTTCATTATACATATATAAATAAATATATATATATTATTGTTCTAAAATATAAGACCATAACAACATTGTTATTTTGAATAAAATGTATCATAACTCATAAATATATATTAATAACATATCATAATTAAAAAATTATTTCAATGTCACGGTTTTTCGTGTAAGAATAATTCGCACCAAATGAATTAAAATGTAATCTATTAAAGTCTAAGATCTCACAAGTATTTTTTGTAGACTTTACAAACTTTGGAGTCTTGTGTTGCTCATGGCATATGAAATTAACAAGTAGAGTTAAGTGGATTGAGTAATTATCACATTATTTACAAAAGAACCAAAAATAGCTCGCAAATTGAGCATGAATGCTCACCTGTATCGGAAGATACGTCTGTATTTTTGTTTGCAATTGTCGTCTACGTCCTTCATCACGAAAAATATTCATCTTGTTACCTTCACTGCTGGTACACAATCGACACAATTCGTAATAGTTCACCTTGCGGTATCCCGACATTATTTTTCCACAATAAACAAATCGCAAATACTGAAAAATCGCACAAAAAGAGAAAGAAGGTTTTCAATTGCGTGACATACACAAGAGCGATAAACACTAGCACAAAACCACCGCCACCAGCCACCGCCAACGCCGTCACCGTCGCTGCCGCCGATTAATTTTGTTCCGCATGAACCGCTCAATGTGACATCAGCCTAATGCCTCGGGCACACCAGCGCGATGTTCATCGCGCGCGAGAGCGATATCCAATGAGAGTATACCTTTAGAATGAGAACATCGTAAAGCTGTACATTCATTGGATATCGCGTGTCACGCGCGACGAACATTGCGCTGGTGTGCCAGAGGCATAAAGGAGCTTACAAACCAGTGGCTCTATTCTTGAAAAGAAACGTATACGAAAGTCTAGGGAAATGCTACAGTATACGTTACGTATACTATTGTATTTCCCTAGTATTTCCCTAGACTGGTCTGTAGGCTCCTTTAAGCTGATATCACAATGGCTGCGTTTAGCAGATTCAGCAGTTTTGCAACAGTTTTATGATTCGTCGCGCTGATTGGATTATTCTTTTAGATTTAAAGGAATAGTCCTATCTCAGCGAAGAATCACAAAA